TCCACGGCGGGCGACCGCTGCCCAGTGCGGAGGCCCGCCGAGGCCGGGGACGAGGCGCCGACGAAGGACAGCACGAGGGAGCCCACCGACAGAGCGGCGATGGCGGCGACAGCGCAAGCGATCAGCAGGGACGCGGAGCGGGCCATTGCGGCAAGTATACGCCGAGCGTGGCACGGGGCTCTGCTTCAAAGAGATCGCCTGGGAGATGCTTCGGCAAAAACGGCCTTGAGCCAAAATGGCTACGGATGATGATGAGGATGATGATGATGATGACGATGACGATGACGATGTCGATGATGATGATGATGATGATGATGATGATGATGATGATGATGATGATGATTATTATGATTATTATGATGATTGTGATGATGATGATGATGATGATGATGATGATGATGATGATGATGATGATGATGATGATGATGGTGATGGTGATGGTGATGGTGGTGATGGTGATGGTGATGATGATGGTGATGGTGATGATGTTGGTGAAATGATGATGTTGATGATGATGATGTTGTTGATGATGATGACGACGACGACGACGACGAACAGGACATGCGCGTGGCAGAGGCAGGGATGAGAGGAGGGAGGAGGGGGAGGAGGAAGGAAGGAAGGAAGGAAGGAAGGAAGGAAGAAACACGGGACCGTCTGTTCAAAACGAGGACCCAACACCACAGGATGGTTGGGAAAAAAACGATCATGAATCACGACAAAGGTGCGTGTTCGGCTCCTCGGGCTTCCGCGGGCCAGCCGACGCAGGGCAGGAGTTCTCCATCGAAGCACGGCATCCCGGCCCACTGCTGCATCGCCAAGGGCGCCTTCTCTCCAAAGGGGGCTCGCCGAGCTCAGGCTGAACGTCGGACTTGGTCTCCAATAGGACTGTTCTTCCTCTTCGGCGCAGTTGCGCCAGACAATGTTTTTGCTCACAGCTTTGAAGAGATCAGTCCTCACCACCGATTGGATCGCTTTCGTACTGGGCAGGCGTGACTTCCGATGGTCAGAAGCTATATCACACTGCGTCGCGCGTCCTCGATGCTCTGGAGACTGCGTCAAGCTGCGGTTCTGGAAGGCAGACGGCACGGAGGATGTGAAGTCTCACAGCATCCTCGTGCATTTTTGAGGAGCTATCCTCGATACGCAGGTTGAGCACGACTGAAAATATTCCAGCCGTCGTTTCTCCAGGAACCTTTGCACTACCAATTGTATTTCGCTGCGCTTTCCGGCGCCATGGCCTTCGAGGACGCTCGCAGCTGCACGAACCACCCGTGGCACAAAGAGCTTGTTAACGACATCATCGAGCTGGCTACTACCAGTCTGGGCTTGTTGCGTGCTGAAAGTAACCGCATGCCGATGATAATAAAGGGACCCCCCCCCTTCAGTGTTTAGAGTTGATTATCGTCGCCCTATACAAAATTCAAATTGGGCGGCGAGCGCTGAGGCCGAACTTCATTATCACCTCGAAACGCTATGTTGAGATAGCAACATCAAGCGATGTTGATATAGCAACATCAAGCGAAGCGATCACACTAATTCATATTTTTATTTATTTATATATTTCTCTATTTCTTGTTTTGTTTCCTCTCTCTCCCCGCGCCCCCCCTGAACTTGTTTATCCCTGGGGTTGAGTATCCGCGGAAAGCGAGGCACATGAGCTACCCTACACGAGCACTAAAAAATTGTAATTTTCATAAAAAGCGTTTGTGAATAAAAATTTAATACATTTGAATCTTCAGATTTTTTGTTTTATCCTCCTTTCCTCTCCTCTTCTACTTCTCCTCCTCATTTCTTCTTGTCCCTTTCCTTTTTAATGTTTCTTTTATGTATTTCCCTTAACTCTCTCTTTGTTTTCTTTATTCCTCTCAAAACGTGCTCGGTTTGGTCTCCTCTTGATCATCTCTTACTTCGAGATTATGCTGAGGTCTGCTGGGCTACTTTTATTATCTCTCCCTGAACCCCGAACTGTATTATCCCCTAGTGTTTATTCTCACGGGCATGAGGTTACGGCCAGAGAAACGCGGCGGTTACTACACGAGGATGACATTCGGGATCGTTTCCTCGGGGTGGAAGGAGAAGAGCTTCGCACGGTTGCTCTTTCGCTGTCTGGTGCTGGGACCGGGGCCGACGGATCAGCAGGAGGAACTGAAACCGAACAATTTGTTTGCGACGGTCTAATGTGGAGCGGATGTGGTTGCAGGCGTACCTCGAGGTCGGGCATGTGCCCCTACAGGCGGATCTTGAACGAAAAACATAAAATACCCCAACAAAAATTAGAACTATACTCAAACATACTACAAAACAAATCGTCCCCATTGAGGGACAGGCCCGACTTAACAGCACCTCCTGCTCACTGCACGCCCTGCAGGCGCACGACAGCGAACACGCTTCGGCGAGCAAGCTAAACAACTTCAGCGCCGCCTTCGTGGCTGCCCCACCGTGCCCCTGGTGCCTGTTTTGCTTGTCGTGTCGATAGGGGGCCGCATGCGAACCCTACCCCTACCCCCCACGATATCTGAGGGGGAGGGTGGGGTTCACTTCGTTCGGGAGCTCCCGAGCGAAGTGAGCCCCACCCTCCCCCTCAGAAATCGTGGGGGGTAGGGGTAGGGTTCGCATGCAGACCCCTAGTCGAGAGACCGCAGTAAGGCACATGCACGCCATGACGCGCACACGGGAGTGCCAGTTCGAGGTGGCGATCACCCCCAGCTCCGTGCCCGATGAGCAGCAAGTTGCATGTCCATGCTGCAAAGAGAGAAGTCTCTACTCTGTCTTCGTATCGCAGGCGCGTAAGGCTCGTGCGTTTCGCGAGGCCTCACACAGTCCTCCTGCCACGCGTGCCCGATTACCCCCCTGCACCATGGACCTCTTGGGAGGCGCCATCGTGTGCGGCTGGAAGAAAGGAAGTGCGGGGAAAAACGGGCAGGGCGGCATCGGGCATCGAGGTGCGAGGCGGGGATTTATCCATGACCACCGCCTGGGGGATCGAGCTCCGGGCACCTCGGCAGACGCTGGATGCCGCTATCTTCAAATTTGCCCCCCAGGGCCAGAATACGGACCGCCTCAGGTAGCCCCAGCCGGGAAGGAGGGAGGGAGGCAGCGAGGGAGGGAGCGAGGGAAACAAAGGAGGGAGCGAGGAGGGAGGGAGCGAGGAAGGAGGGAGCGAGGGAGGGAGAGAGCGGGCTAAATGGGGGCGGGCAGGGGGGCAGGGAGGCAGGGACAGGCTAGGGGAAGGAAGACGGCACAGATGCCGAAACTCTCGGAGGTCCGCGCGGACCTCTGAGAGTTCTCTCCGAGGGAAGCGGGCCCTGAGGGAAGCGGGTCCTGGACCCCCGGGCCTTCACCAAAGGCCGCCCCCTCATCCCCAGGCGCTGCCTGACAGTCCCAGGGGCCTAGGGGGAGAGCCCCAGGAGCCCAGAAGCGGCGGGGAACCCTGAGGATCCGTTTCCCTCGGGACGCCTTTCCTGCCTGGGGGCCGCGGCAGCAGCAGCCGCAGGATGCGGCAGCCCCAGAACTCCGACGTCATGATCGATCATAGAGAAACAAACGATGGCATAAACATAAAAAACTCGGAGGGAGGTCCGCTCGGATTTCTCGGATCCGAGCTGGAGCCAACCGGCGGCGCCTCCAGCGCCGCACCTGGCGCGCTCCGCTCGCCAGGGAGGGTGGTCCAGCGCCGATCCGAGAAATCCACGCGGACCTCCGAAATGTTGTGTTTATGCCATTGCTTGTTCCCCCAGTTCAACAACGTGGACCCCTAGAGACCCCGCCGTTCTTCTCGAATCGCTCTTTGGCGGTCGTGGGCACGGGGGAGGGGGGAGGGGCAGGGGCCCGAAAGCAGCCGGAAGCCTCCAGGACCCGTCTCCCCCAGGACCCCCTGTCCTCCACGGAGGCTGCTGCAGCAGCCGCAGCCGCAGGCAGCGACAGCTGCGCAGCGGCACAGAGGGCGCCCAACGGCCCGGTGAGGAAGAGGAGGGGGAGGAGGAGGAGGAGGAGGAGGAGGAGGAGGAGGAGGGAGGAGGAGGAGGAGAGAGGAGGAGGAGGAGGAGGAGGAGGAGGAGGAGGGAGGAGGAGGAGGAAGAGGAGGAGGAGGAGGAGGGGTGGGAGGGGGAGGAGGAGGAGGAGGAGGAGGAGGAGGAGGAGGAGGAGGAGGAAGAGGAGGAGGAGGAGGGGGAGGGGGAGGAGGGCGAGGAGAAGGGTGAAGGGGCGAAGGAGGAGAAGGAGGAGAAGGAGTATCGCCGGAGCGTCGCGGTCGAACGAGGAACTGGGGGACGCGCACACCCCGAAGATCTCGCAGGAGGAGCAGGAGGAGCACGCTTGTTCGTTCCTCTTTCTCCCCCCTGGTAGGGGCCGTGACGGACCTAGCTGCTTCGCCCCCTTGAGGGCACCAGTGCTCCACATAGCTTATTATGGGCATTAGTAACATCATCAGTATTAGTGTTGCTATGTTTGTTCTTCGTATTCATCGTCGTAGTACTCTTGTGTGTTTCATATTTTTTTCTTGTTTGTTTTCTTATTCTTCATCTCCTCGTCCTCCTCCTCCTCCCGGCTCCGCCCTCCTCGCCCTCCTCCTCCCCCGCTCGCCCTCCTCCTCCTTCCCCCGGCTCCAGGTTCTTCCTGGTCCCGGGAGTCGTCCCCTCCTCTGCCCCGTGCTGCTGTTGCTCTCCCGGGTCGTCCACCTGGGACCTCCTGGCGAGAAGGGCTTGCACGAACAGATTTTTAGAGACCACCTGCCCGTGGAACTGGCGACGCTGGGTGGCTTCATAGTTTCACAGCGCCGGGCGGCGGTAGCGTCGGCGCTTACTTTTCCTGCCCATGCACCTCTGACGTGCACGGCGTCTTCTTCTTCATCTCCTCGTGAAGTTCCACTGGTGTGATCAACCCCCACCCCTGGGAGCTACGGCCCGTAGGGCGTGGGACGGCAGCATCCAGCACGCGCCGAAAGCGTCAGCCCCAGGAGCAGCAGGCCGCAGCTGCGCAGCGGCACGGGGGCCCCGGCGCGCCTCAGCCCCGGCACGCGCAGCTCCGGCGCGGCCGCGGGCAGCGCCGCGGCGCCGCGCGCGCGCTCGCGGAGGGCGCGCCTGCGGGCGACGCCGCCGCCGCCGACGCCGACGACGCCGACGGCGACGACGGCGCAGGCAACAGCAACCACCCCCACGACGTTGACGAACGACGTCGGCGGCGGCGGTGGCGGCAGCGTCCGCGGAGACTGCGACGGCGGAGGCGGCGACGGCTGCGGCAACGGCGGCGGCGCCGGCAGCGACGGCAGTGGCAGTGGCGGCGGTAGCAGCGGCGGCTGCGGCGGCGACGACGGCGGCGGCGGCGCGGGGGAATGGGATGGAATGGACGGCGGGGGTCGCACTGGAGTGCTGCAGCCCCAGCCCACTCAGGACAGGACAGGCTGGAGGATCGAAAAACAGGAGGGCGACAGGAGGGAAATGCCCCTCGCCTTCGTCCCTTCCCCGCTCCGGCGCCCACCCCTACGCCCATCAACATCCACTTCCCCACCCCCATCTCCCATCCCTTCCGCTCACATCCCTTATGCCGCTCCCGTCCCTTCCTCTCGCCTTCCTCCCCAGTTTCCCTTCATCCGCTCCCATCCACATCCTTGGGGGAACCAAAAGGCACCGATACCGCCACTCCCCGGCCCTGTCCCCGGCGTGGTGCGTCCTGACCAGGACTTCGAGGCGAATCCAGCGGTGGCGACGAGGGTATCCCCGGAGACCCGAAGAGGGGAAAGCGAGGGAAGGGTAGATGGAGATACGGGTACCTCTTCCTCATCTGATCCATGTCCCCTCCTCCAGTCCCGCTCCTCTCTCCGCCCCATCGTTTGCTTGCCTGCCCCGAAGCGGCCTCCAGCGGCCAAAGCTAGCAACAGACCAGACGCCTCGACCCATGGACAGCGCCAGGAGACCTGGGCTCCGTCATCCGCTCCCAACCCTAGCCTCAGGTCGGGCATGTCCCCCTACAGGCGGATTTTGGACAACAAAAAAATCAAATACGTACCCCGAAAATGCTCCCAGAATGCTCAAAAATAGTCCGAAATCGTCCCCAGACGATATTTGTTCTATTCTTTAATACTCCCCCTGTAGAGGGACAGGCCCGACTTAACCCTAACCCCCACCTAGCCATCGCTCGGACGTCCACCCCCCGTGGATATTCCGACGTCATGCGCTTACTGGTTCGCAAGATGGCCCAGGGTCCTCCACGATGGCCCTCGCCGAGGAAACAGCGCACACGTCCCAGCGATGCCCAGTCACCCCTGTCCCCATCCACCTCTTCCTTCCCACCGCCGTCTTCCATCCTACCCTCCGCTCCCACCTTCCGAGCCCCGTCCCCTCCCCCGCTCCTCCCGCCGCTGTCCCTGCCCCTGCCTCCGCTCCCACCCCTTGGCCCGCTCACTCCTCCCCTCCTCGTCTCGACTCCTCCTGGCCGGCTGGCTGAGGAGGAGGAGGAGGAGGAGGAGGAGGAGGGGGAGGAGGAGGAAGAGGAGGAGGAGGAGGAGGAGGCGGCGGAGGAGGAGGAGGAGGAGGGCTGGCTTCTCGTCTCGTCCCGAGTCGTCCTTGGACGACCCTGGGATCCCCCGCGCAGAGGCTCCCCCGCCCCCGGCCCTTGGAGCCCGACGGCGGCCCAAAAATCTCCTCGGGAGCTCCCGCCGTGAGGCGGCCTGCGCCCCTCCCTGGGCCTCGCCTCCGCTCTCCCCCCCCTCTTCGCCCCGCCCCCCGCCCGCGCCACCCCCTGCGGCCCGTGCCCTCCCCCCCCTCCCTGCGCCCCCTCTCCCCCGCCCCCCTCTCCCCGCGGCCCGTGCCCCGCCTCCTCCCCCCGCTCGCTCCCGCCCTCCGCTCCCCCCTCCTCCGCCCTGAAGAGGAGGAAGAGGAGGAGGAGGAGGAGGAGGAGGAAGAAGAAGCGGCGGAGGCGGAGGAGGCGGAGGAGGCGGAGGAGGAGGAGGAGGAGGAGGAGGAGGCTGCGCCGCCCCGCTCCTCCCTCCGGCCGCCCGCCTCCCCTCGCCCCCCCGATCCTCGAGCCTCCTCGCTCGCCCTTCGCTGCCGCTCCCCGCGCGCTCCCCCCGCCACCGGCGCCACTGCCCCATCCCGACCAGCCCACACCCCACACCCTGCCCCTCCCTGCCCCTCCCTCGGTCCCTTCTCTCCCTCGGTCCCCTCCCTCCCTCCCTTGCTCCTCCCCAACAGCTTACCCTCTCGTCCCTCCCTCCCCTTCCCTCCCCTCTCCCCCTCCCCTCCCGCCCCATCCCCCTACGTTTTCCTCGCCGTTCCCTACCCTCCCGCCCTCTCCAGTCGTCGCCTCCGCAATGCCTTGATCTCGTGCACGAGGTGGTCGGACCGGGTGAACCACTTGAGATCCGTTTTTTATACGTTCCGAACGGCCTTGGTAACGAACACGACGAAGACGGCGATGGCAACGGCGACTGACGGCGAAGACGGAGACGACCACGGAGACAACGTCGTCAACGGAAGACAAGGCAAGAAACGTCTAACACAAGGGGCATCTCTGCGCGGCTGCATCTTTTGGCGGCGCGCACAAGGGGTTGGAGGGAGGGGGAGGGCTTCTTAGAAGGAGGCTGCTTCTCAGAAGGTGCCGGCCTTACATATATAAAGAAGGCCCGTGCCTTCGAAGAAGCCGGGGTGCTTCTAAGAAGCTCCCCCCTCCCCCCACCCCCTTCTGCGCGTGGCTGAATCTTACAGTGGCGAGCTGCTGCACGGGAGGCTGGGCGCAGCCAGAGAGAACTGCGGAGAAGCCGGCGCTGGCGCAACACCAGGGCCGACGATGCGCCCAAAACTAATCGAGTAAACCCGTAGACCAGTGCACGTAATGACGTCGGTTTTGCCACGAAGGGGAATCACATGCGCCGAAGAGGGGGTCCAGGAGGAGGGGGACTGCGATTAGCACATCATGATCCGAGGCGTGTGCGCGGACGAGGGGGGGGTCCAGGGGACGCGTTCCTCCTCCCCCTCCTCCACCTTTTTGTTTAAGATTATTACATACGACTCCTACTCTCATCTCTCCCCTGAAGATGGCCGGGGAGTAGTAGACCGCCCGTCCACGCAGTGCTTTCACACAGGATTACACAAGATGGGCGTTCCTGCTGCTTCCCCATCGGAAAATTTCGGTGCCTCAAAATTGTGCTGCCGCTGCAGCGCTGGCCTCATTTCAGGATCGGCGCTTTGCTCCCGTTGTTCAAAATGGCGCTCCCGCCCCAGCGCGGGCCACTTATCTTCATCCGAGTCCTGTCTCATCTTTGCCGCCCCGCTCCTTGCCCTGGTCCTCCTGCTCCTCCCGCTCCCTCCACTCCACTTACCAATGCTGCTGGTCGTTGAGCTTGTCGTCCTCCTCCTCCTCTTCCTCCTCCTGATCCTCATCCTCTTCCTCTTCCCCATCATCATCATCATCATCATCAGCATCATCATCATCATCACCATCATCAGCATCACCATCATCATCAGCAGCATCATCATTATTACTATCATCGTCATCACTAACAACAACGTCATCATCATCAACAGCACATCATCAGCAGCATCAGCATCAGCATCAGCATCAGCATCTCCATCCTCATCCTCATCATCATCCCCATTATCATCATCAGCATCATCATCAGCAACAACAACATCAATATCACCATCCCCATCACCATCATCAACATATCCTCATCCTCATCCTCGTCCTCGTCCTCCTCTTCCTCCTCCTCATCATCACCATCATCACCATCATCACTCCTCATCCTCCTTTCCCTCCTGCTCATCCTCTTGCTCATGCACCACCTCCTCCTCCTCTTCCGCCTCCCCCCATGTACGCAGTTCCACTCTTCCGATTGCGCATACGTAATACGAAGGGGTCTCTTTGGGAGTCCCAAGTCCACAATGACATGCGTCCGCGGGTAGAGATAACAAGCATCGCAAATGGAAGGGATGGGTGGAAGGGTAGGATGTCAGACATGGCGCGAGCGCACCAATGCTGTCCTACCCCCAGTTCCACTCCTCCCCTCTCCCCCTTGTCCCCCTCCCCCCCCGTCTTGCTCCTCCCCCTTCGCCCTCCTTCCCCTCTTCCATGTGTTTTTGTTTTTCCAGCCTATACATACAGACAGACAGGCATACATACATACATACATACAAGCATACATACATACACACATACATACATTCATACAGACATACATACATACATACACCCACGCATACATACATACATACATACATACATACATACCTGCCTACCTACCTACATACACACATACATAAACTACAGACATACATACGCACATACATACATACATACATACCTATATACATGCATACATATATATATATATATATATACATATATACATTCATTACATACATACATACATACATACATACATACATACAGACAGACAGACAGACAGACAGACATACATACAAGCATACATACATACATACGTACGTACGTACATACATACATACAAACATCCATACAAGCATACATACATACATGCATGCGTACATATATACATACCTACATACATACATTACACACATACATACATACATACAAGCATACATACATGCATACATTCATATATGCATACATACATTCATACATACATACATACGTACGTGCATACATGTATACATACGTACATATATGTATACATATATACATACAGACATACATATATACATACATACATACATACATACACACATGTATACAAACATACATACATACAAACATATATACATACACACATTGCAGACATGCATTACAGACATACATACATACAAACAAGCATACATTACAGTCATACATACAGACATGCATATATACGTACACACATGCATACATACATACAAGCATACATAGGTACATAGGTACATACATACATACATACATACACGCATACATACATACCTAAATACGTACATACATACGTACATACATACCTATACACATACATACATACATACATACATACATACATACATACATGCATACGTGCATACAAACATACGTACATATATATACATACGTGCATACAAGCATACATACATACATACATACATACATGCATGCACACATACACACATTACAGACATACATACGTACATGCATACATACCTACTTTACATACATACATACATACATACATACATACATACATACATACATGCGTACGCACATACATGCATGTATACAAACATACAAGCATACATACATACATACATACGTACATACCTTGCATACATGCATACAAACATGCAAGCATGCATACATGCATGCGTACATACGTACATGCATACATATGTTCATGCATACACTCACACATACATACATACATACGTACATGCACACATACATACATTCGTACATACAAACACACATACGTACGTGCATACATACATGAATACATACATACATACATGCATGCATACATGCATACATACATACATTACAGACATACATACACACAGACAGTACATACATACATACATACCTACATACATACATACATACATGCATACATACATACCTACATACATACATACAAGCATACATGCATGCATACATGCATACATACATACGTGCATACATACATACATGCAAGCATACAGTCATACATGCATACAAGCATACATACATACATGCATACATACAAGCATACATACATACATATATACGTACATACATACATACGTACATACATACATATATACATATATACATACATACATACCAACATACATACATGCAAACATACATACGTACATACATACATACATATATACATACATACATACATACGTTCATACAAACCTACATACACACATACGTACATACATACAAACATACAGACATACACACATACACACATACATCTACATTGTTCATGTACATACATACTCCCTGCCGCTATTAGATCGGCGGTAGATGCCCGGTAGCGGATACGCACGCTCCTGGGCGAGGTTGGGCTATAGGACCCCATCGGCGATGGATGGCGAACGACGACGACGACGACAAGGACGCGTCGACGCACCCACACTGAGCAAATCCCTTTTGCCCCTCGACGCGCTTCGGGTCATCACTCGGGCCTCCAGCGGCAGGTTGGGACGATCCGAGCACCCCCGAGAACACTCTGAGCGAGGAGCAGCCGCTGACCGACATCCCGAGGCTGGAGAGCCGCCGAAAACCAACGAAAGCGCCCGCAAACCTCAGACCTCGATCCCCGAAACTCCCCTCCTCGTCCTCCTCCTCGAGAGCAAGCGCACGATGGGAACCCCGTGTCCTCGAGAGCGGCCTCCGTGGGGACGCGGTTTGCGTTCCTGGGGGCGCGATCCCTCGCCCTCACGTCGACCCCCTCCCAAAACATCGCGCTTCCTTACATCGACATCTGCAACCCCCGTAATCATGCAGCCCCCCCTTTTCCGAGGAGGGGTGGGGAGGAGCAGGACCAGTATATCCGAGACCCCTGAACGATGTTGCAACAAACCCTCCTTCAAAATTCCCCGTTTCATCTGTCCATGCAAAATTGCCACTGAAGAAACAGCATCGTTGGAAGACATCCGTCCGGAAATGTTGAACCGTTCTGCAAAAAAAAACTGGGACTTGAACGCCGCGAATGAAGGTTACTGCTGCGCCCGGACGATCCTGAATAACGGACACTGTGGCGCCCGGACACTCATACAGCATGCCAAAACACCAGATGTGGAACGTCAACCAAAAGATGATTTGGAACTGTTGTGAAATCTTAGGCCGGATATGCGCGCCGCTAACGCGAGAGCCATTTTGTGTAAAGAAACTGCCCTCCATCCACGAAACGCTTACAACGTTTACAGCAAATTTGCGCGGCGCTAAAACGACAACCACATTTTGGATACTGCCCTTCCTCCGTCCGTGCAACTCTTACAAAAAATTGGAACAAATGCGCGCGGCACTGACACGAGAACCACAATGTGAACACGGCCAGCCCTCGATCCGCGAAGCGGTTGCGCATTCCAAGATCGCGGACCATAGTATGCCAGGAGGCCTCAACCGAAACGACCGGTCCGCGCCAGTAACACGTCTCGGGGCGCGAGAGGGCGGAATCATTGATTAGGCAAAACGATGGAGGAGGAGGAAGGGAAGGGAAATTGGAGGAGGAAGACAGGAGGGGGGGAAGAAGAAAGAAGGGGAGAATGAGTGGACGAATGGGCATGTGAATGGGAATGGGATCAGCGATAGACTCACGCTACAACCAGCACGTATGGATAGTGGAAACCCGAAGGGAAGTAAGGAGGGGATTATCCTTCCTCCTCCTCCTCCTCCCCCTCCTCCTCCTCCGCCATGCACTCCAAATTGGCACGGACCGCCCTGCGACGTACGAAAAAAGCCACCGCGTCGACCCATCCAACCTGGGGCTTAGGGGTGGCTTGACACAAGACCTCGGCGGCAGCTTGGCCCGCAAAAACATCGGCGCATTCATTCCCTGCAATCTGCCAGAGCTGTACAGGGCTCCACCGCCTGAAAGCTCTTCGGCCTGATGGCTGTGCAAAGACACAACTTGAATTCTAGAACCACCCCTGTCACTCAGGGCCGCCCGTATGGCGAGCCACAGGTCCGCGTTCGTGCCTCGCGGCGGCTGCCGCTGTCGACCGCGGGTCCAACCTGTCACCAGCGGCATGTTGTCCGCGTGGTAGCGCAGGTTGCCCCGCGTAGCTCTCAGCTCCGCCCTCGGGACGGTCTGCTTGGGCCCACAGGCAGCCGCACCACGATGCCCGCCACGAGCGTCGGGGCGTCGCTCTCGCACTCGGCGAAGGTGCGCATGATGGCGACGCCGACCTCGCACTGTCGGAGCCTGGGGTCGCCGCTGTGCTCACCCCCCGAGCCATCCCCGAAGACGTCAAGGAAACCGTCAGCCTTGCACGCGGACCTGGAGTGGTTCGCCAAGTCAGAGTGTAGGCCCAAGCAGTTTGCACAGGCTGGCGCGGTGCGCGTGCATCGTACGAGGGCGGGAAGGTCGTCGTCGTCGGGTCTCGGTGTGGGAGGGAAGGCACTGCACCCGTCGCACACCCTCCTGTATGTAGACCAATTCGACCTCTATTTCTGTTCCTCCTGTGGGGGCTGTAGTAGCCTCATGGTAAGAACTCTGGCTGAAGAGTGTGGCCATCAGACGGTGAAGGGAGAGCAGAATCTCAGACGAATTGCACGGGACTTGTGCCCCCCCCCCCCAAGGGCATGCCCAAAAAAGTACAGGAGGCCCTGCTCTGGCGGGATGCCAACCGTGCCGCTGCTAGAGCTAATGTGCACGTGCATCTCTGAGTGCAGCTAGCAAGCCATACAGTACGATTGCGTACTCCTCATGTTTTGAGTGGCCGTTTGCGCGCCGCGCGACGGATCCCTCCCAGGCTGCGTACTCCTCCTTTTCCTCCTCCTGCTCCTTCCCCTCGTCCTCCTTCTCCTCCTACTCACCCCCCTCCTCCTCATAGTGGTCTTCCTCTTTCACGGGCCTCCTCCTCCTGCTTTTCCTCCTCCTCCTCCTCCTCCTATACCTCCTTCTCATCCTCCTCCTCTTCCTTGAATGAAGAGGCGGTTGAAGGAACTTATTCTTCTTCTTTTTCTTCTTCTTCTTCTTCTTCTTCTTCTTCTTCTTCTTCCTTGAAGGAAGAGGAAGTTCCTTTTTCCTCCTCCCCCTCCTGCTCCACAAGCCTCAGCGGGCCCGAACCGGCCCAGACCCGGCCAGCGCCGAAAGGCCCCGCGGTGGCCCGACATCGCACCATTGCACCCTTGAGCCCGTCGCAGATGGCCTCTGTTTCCTCCTTCTCCTCCTCCTCCTCCTCCTGTTCTCCCGCCTCCTCCTTGTCCTTGTCCTGTTCCTCCTCCTCCTCCTCCTCCTCCTCCTACTCCTCCTCCTCCTCCTCCTCCTCCTCCTCATCATCATCATCATCATCATCAGCAGCACCATCATCATCAGCAGCAGCATCAGCAGCATCATCATCAGCATCATCATCGCCAGCAGCATCATCATCAACACCAGCATCAGCATCATCATCATCATCACCATCATCATTGTCATCATCACCACCACAACCATCATCCTCATCAGCAGCATCATCATCACCAGCATCAGCATCGTCACACAATCATCACTATGTTCATCAGCATCACCATCATCATCACAATCCTCACCATCATCATCATCAACATAATCATCATCATCATCATCATCATCATGATCATCATCATCATCATCATCATCATCATCATCATCATCATCATCATCATCATCATCATCATCATCATCATCATCATCCCCATCCTGTGCCTCTTCCTCCACCTTCAACACTTTTTCCTGCTCCCTCGTGTTCCTCCTCGTCCACCTCCTCCTCCCCCCTTCCTCGTCCTCTTCGTTCCCAGCTTCATCCTCGCCGCCAACATCACCAGCATCATCATTACCATCATCATCATAGACATCACCAGATGCATTACCACCACCATCACGGTCACCATCAGCATCACCAGCATGATCCATATCTCCTGAATATGACAGACCTCCTGCCTGTGGCAAACCGAAACTTTTCGAAAAGGCGGACCCAGGGTTTCACATGAGACGCCCTCAATATGAATTGTCCTCAAGCTTCAAGACTGCAAAGTGTTCACGGGTGCAGGGCGGGCCATTCTCGAAATGTGACTATCGACCGACCGCCGCGCACAGTTGCTTTGAAAATTCGCAACAGCTTCACGGATGGATCGCCGGCGGTTTTCAGAATGTGGTTATCGGCGTGAACGCCGCGCACATTCGCTTTAAAGGGTCGCAACAGCTTCAAAAATGTAAGGCGGGTGTTTTTTTTTTTTTCAACATGTGGCTACACCGATTTGCCCCGCGCACATCCGTCTTAAAACTACGCAGTTAGGTCAAGGATGGAGGGCGGTCCTTTTTCCAAACTGCGATTATGGCATTAGCGTCGCACACATTGGTCTTACAAGTTTGCAACCGCTTCTAGGGTTTGCACACTTGAAGTCCCAGGAACTGTGGTATCGCACAACTCAATGTCAGTTTGTAATACAAAACAAACAGGGCGTGCGATTAAAAAGAGGTTCCCCTGCTCGGGCGAATCGCGGGGGGGGGTCGCCCGCCACATGGAAACACACTGCGGCGGCGCCGGTGATTAACGCCGACACCCAATTGACAGCAGGGCGACAGGCGCGACGCAGGCGGCGCCGCTTCAGCGGAGGGGGACATCAGCGCCTCCGACATAGCAGGGCAGTTGGGCCAACATGGCTACAGACAGGAAACAAAGAGGAGACAGGGGGAAGAAGCGCATCAGCTGGCGGGCGGTGCCGACAGCTAGCTACAACAAAAAAAGGGGGGAGGAGCGGCAGAGGCAGGCGGAATCGACTTTTCCTTATCTTTCTCCCCCCATTCCCCCCTCCCTTACAATTTCCTACGTCGACGACGACGACGACGACGACGACGACGACGACGGCAGCGGGGACGGCGACGGCGGGAACGGTCCGTAGCCATTTTGGCTCAAGGCCATGGCGATCCCGACGACCGCGAGTCCTTGGGGCGCTGTCGAGCGCGAGGGACGCCGCGCCCTGGGCCAGCTTCTTGCTTTGTGTTTTCGATGCAGCGAGGCCAGGCGGAGCGCGCGGGGCCAGCAGCCATGTCGGGCGACGGAACAGCAACGCCGCCATCCTGGAGGCGCAGGGTGTACTGGGTCTGCTTATGCAAGGAGTGGAACTGGTGTGACAAGAGGGCGACCTGCAAGTCGTGCGGGAAGGAGGCGCCAGCGTGGGCGAAGCGCCTGCGCGCGGTGCACCTACCCCAGGCCGACGGTGAGGGCTTCGTCCAGCAGCCCAGGGGGCGTTCGCACCAGCGTGCAGCGCGCCGAGCAGGCGACGCTTCCAGGACAGCCTCGGCCACCAGCACCGTGCCGAGCAGCGCGCCCAACAGCAGGGGGCGGCCGCGGGGCGGAGGCAAGCCGCCGCCTTGGCGTGAGGAGCGCGAGGAGCAGCCAGAGCCCGCGTCGAGTCTGGAGCGCAGGTTCGAGGAAGCCCAGGCTCGCATCTCCAGCCTCCGTGAGGCTGTCGCCATGGAGGGGACCAGCGAGGCCTTCCAGCGAGAGGCCAGGGCGGCTCTCCTCGCAGCGGAGGCTTCGGCCGAGAGGGCAGAGGCCGAGCTCCGCGAGGCCCAGCGGCTCGGGAGGCCTCCCCACGCCGTCCTCCACGGAGGCGCCAACGCCATGCAGAAGGCCGAGAAGCAGATCACTGCAACCAGAGCCAAGCGTGTACAGGCCTTGCAGCGGGCTGACTCCCTCCGGGGGAAGATCGCGGCGATGCAGGA